GCTACAAGGTCCCACTCGTAGTGTGACCAGTATGTGACGAGGTATACATCCCCCCCCCCCCCGGGGGGGGGGGGGGGGACCCTAGAACAGCCTCTTTGAGCAGGACTGGGTCCGGTGTCCACCTCTCCCGGCTCAATTCCCTTGTCTCGGGAACAACTGTGAATTCATTTTCTTCTGACCACGGTTGCATAGTGTTTACCTCCCAGGCGGTACCTCTCATACTTGGCAAATGATGGGCCCTACAGTGGACAACGGAGGAAAGTCCCTCTTGATCAGCTCCTGCGTGTCTATGTTCGGAAAATAATTAATAATGGGTGCGATCAGTTAAGGAAAAGTTGATCGGCGGGTCGAGACAGCGGCCCGCTCGCGGTGCGGTCTATTTAGCCCTCCTGGAAGCATATCTGGCACCCACGTTTACTAACCTATATTTTCAGAAAGATTACTCTTTGAGTTTGAGGAACAGATTGCTGCAATTTATTCGAAAAACTGGGTCTTAGCATTCGAACGGCAAGCTAAGGAAAGACGTCATGTCGCTTAACATATCGGTCGGGTTTAAGTCTAGCGCAAGTCTTAAATGGTCAGCTAGATCCCAAAATACAGCGAGCCTATTTTTCGCAAGACTCTAAGCTTTCGGTTAAGCTTTCCGATCTGAATAATCAACGTTGAACGGTTTCACTGACTCGCAGTCACAACTGTCAAGGCAGTATGGCGGCCGCGCCGAAAAAAGCAGCATAAAACCGCTTGGTTGTCCAGAAAATACAGTGTTTGGCCAATCTGATGAGTGGAGTCGAAAGCTTAGACTCTTGCAAAAAGTCGGCTCGCTGCTCGTTTGGGTCCATTTTGTGACTTGCGGCGGGTTTAACCTGATGGATGTTGTGTTAAACTACGCCACGACTTTCCTCAGCTTGCCTTCCCATTCCCCATGCCCATTTCCCTCCAGAATGGCATTCCCTCCATAAGAGAGGTTTAAAACAGAAAAAAAATCGACGTACTTTAAAGCTGAGGCCCCTTGCGAGGCCAAAATCACGTGAAACGCAACGAAAACCTCATTTTGTCCACGGAAATTACAGTCCACGGAAATTACATTATTGCATGAAATGGGGTGTACAAGCCAAACCAGAAGTGCCACCGGAACCAAAATTTTACTGGAACAACTTGACCACAAGGCAAACACACAAGGATTGGTTCGCAATCAAAATTTTGAATGGTCTGCAAGCAATGGGTGGAACGGAAATTACACTTATTGCTTGCTAGGCCATTTTTTTCGCCGCTTTGGAACTTATTTAACTTTATATTTTCCGTTCTAATGGTGCCACATTACTCCGCCACTTTGCAAATTGTGTAGAACGAATGCACCAACAATATGAGAAAAGTTTCAGAACGATCGCAAATAAGGTAGAAAAACCGTCCCAAAAAAACCGATTTTAGACTTTTTGAATTTTAGTTGTGGAAGACAATTTTCGGAATCATCTTGTGTCTGCAAATTTTACCCGAGAGATACGTTCTACACGTCAAAACGTAGCCTCACTTGCGTAGAACAAAATGCACTTTGCGAAAGTGATTTTTTCATACTCCTTGGGCTGTAGTAGAGGCGGGAAGCCCCAAATCTGGAGCGTAGGACATCAAAAAGTGTCCACGGAAATTACATTCTAGGGTAAAACTTGCAATTTAACGGTGGAAGGAGGCAAAATTTCATCTTGATGAGAATTGTACCTTGTCCGCAAGGTCAAAAAACATAAAGGTAGGAAAAGACCCGGTTAAAATCGACTTAAGGTTGGAAGAACCAGAGAGAGGACACGAAATTATCACATCTCGCGAGAACTGCTCACAAAGAAACTGACTACCCATGGAAAGCATGGCCATAACGTCAACAAATGCCAAATCCCATCTACAACAAAAACAAACCACACTACACAAGAACACATTAGAGCATCGGAACCCACCAAACATTCACTTGAACCACACGATTTAAAATAAAGAAACAAGACAAGAAACAAGCCATGCTTGTTTGTGAAAGGCATGGCGTACACGGTGAAACCGATGTCTGGAAATTTCCAGATATTTTTTGCCATTTCCAGACATTGTCTGGAAATTGCCGTTTTTTTTTCAGATATTGTCTGGAAATGGGGGCATTCCAGACCCAATTAGCAGGCCGCGTAGGTGACCTCTGCCGATTTCGTTCCTTTTGTGGTCAAATGTTACCTACCACTAGGGTAAGATGACCATAAATTTTTAAGGTCGAAATATGAATACTTCAGGAGATATCGCAATTTGAAATTTTCTCTGAAATATCTTTTAGTGGTTTTGAACAAAGTGTCAACTTTTGCGCGAATCCCTCCTGCTTCTTAAGTTTTCGACTCAGAAGGTCTAGATGACTGCTCCTTACGTAAAATTCAACAAGGAATCAGAATCCGTCGCCAAAAAGCACCTACGATCGAGTTTAGAGGTCAAAAAGTGGCCTCAAACACAAAATTTTGTTATTTTTGTGCCTAATTTCAAGGCAAAAATGTAAAGGGGAAACGGGTCTAAACATAAAATTCCCAATAGTGAAAATGTTCCTTTAGACTCCCTCTAAACAGCTGCGGCTCGAAAAAGATGGTTATAGGTCAGGATCAGGCAACACAGCCTTCAAATTAGAGAGCGAATTTCAGTGAATTTAATAAATTATGTTAGCAGTAGGGTGCGTCGATATACACGACTTTTTTTACTACGACTCTTG